TAAATCTAAATGGAAGGAATATGGCACATGTGTAAATATGTCCAGAGCAGGTCGCCTTAAAATCTGACTGTGCAAGAAAGAGACGAGTGAGGGAGGCCACTAAGACACCTATGACTCCTCTGAAGGAGGTTCAGCAGATGAGATGATAGACTGTCACCAGTCAAAGCTTATGGCAGTGTAAGCAAAGAGAAAAACACTGTTGGAAAATAAAAGCTCAAAATAATCTGGACTGAAGTTCACCAGAAGGCATGTGGAAGATGTGCAGTGATGGACGGACACCAAACACTGCACATCAGCACAACACACCATCCCCACCATGAAGCACGGTGGTGGCAGCATCATGATGAAGCACGGCGGTGGCAGCATCATGACGTGAAGCACGGTGGTGGCAGCATCATGATGAAGCACGGCGGTGGCAGCATCATGACGTGAAGCACGGTGGTGGCAGCATCATGATGAAGCACGGTGGTGGCAGCATCATGACGTGAAGCACGGTGGTGGCAGCATCATGATGAAGCACGGTGGTGGCAGCATCATGACGTGGAGATGCTTCTATAGTCCGTATGTAAAAGAAAACAAACTACATTTATCTGGTGTTGCTGGATTGTTGCTATCGATGCATTATGTACAATTTGAGCTCATTTTACTCCTTTCACCTATAATCATGCAATATATATTTTAAACTAATCTTATATTTTGCATGCAATGAGTGTTTATCTGCAGATAACTGAAGCTGTTTAGTAAATTTAATGAAGAGTGCCATATTTTTCTCTGTAATAAAAGCTAAAGCTGCTTATAAAGCACCTTAAAATTGCACTTAGAGAGAGCTATAAGTCGTAGTTGACGTACGGTAGCAATAATAGTTTGGATTCTAGCTTTCCAGTGTCCTTCTGTAAATATAACTGACAGCAGCAAACTGTTTAAATATTAAATTTATGTGACAAATCTGGTGCATATCTGACAGACTTGTGTTCATCCAGGTGTCATGCTGAGGTGCCCTTGAGCAAAAAAAAAACCCCACAGCTTTCAGTCTCTGGATATATTTTGGAAAAGGGTGAGAGATGACTTCAAAAAAAAAAAGAAGAAGTTTGACATGCTGGAAAATGCTGGCTTTCTTGCTGAGAGTTAGATGAGAAGACGGATAGCGCTGTCATGTTTGCACAGTTGACTGGGCCTCCCGCCAACAGCTAGTCCTGCACATACATGACCCCCCTGAAAACCACAAATTCCCGTTTTCACACTTTTTGGTGTTTGTTCGAGCTGCATATTCATGGTTTGATGGCTGATCAGACACCAGAGGAGCTGCAGAGAAGTTTAAGAGGCTCAGAGATGGATGGATTGGAGGAAAATGGGAGATTTTGTCCCATTTGTAGTCATTTTTTTTTGTCTCCCTGTTGTTGTATTTAAGATTACATTAGGTATATTTCTTGTGTTTCTTTGTGGTAGTTTTGCGTCTCTTGTTTTATGTCTTTGGCAGCCATTGCATCTCTATTTGTGTTATTTTTTTTGTCTCTGTGGCCCTTTTTCATCTCTTTGTTCTCATTTTGTGGCCCTGTGGTCATATTGTATGTCTTTGTGGTCATTATATGTCTATTAGTACTCGTTTTGTGTGTCTTTGTGGTCATTTTGTGTATATTTGTGCCTATTTTGGGTCTCTTCTTAATCATTTTTCATATCAGTGTGTGCATTTTGAGTCTCTTGCCCTTAGTGTCTCTTTGTAGTCATTTCTATTCGCATCTCTTTGAACTTGGTAGCCATTTTGTGTCTTTTTGTGGTTGCATGATGGCATTTTGTAGCCATTTTGTGTCTTTTTGTGGTCATTTTATGTCACTTTGTATTTATTTTGTGTTTCTAAGTGGTCATTTTGTGTGTCTTTGTGGTCATTATATGTCCATTAGTACTCGTTTTGTGTTTCTATGTGGCATTCTGTGTGTCTTTGTGGTTCTTTTATGTACATTTGTGCCCATTTTGTGTCTATTTGTAGTCATTTCTATTCGCATCTCTTTGAACTTGGTAGCCATTTTGTGTCTGTTTGTGGTAATTTTATGTCTATTTGTATTCCTTTTGTGTTTCTTTGTGGTCATTTTGTGTCTTGTGTTTATTTTGTGTCTTTTTGTGTCTCTTTGTAGTCATTTCTATTTGCATCTCTTTGAACTTGATAGCCATTGTACGTCTTTTTGTCGTCATTTTGTGGATGTATTATGGCATTTGGAGCCATACTGTGTGTCTTTGTGGTCATTTTGTGTCCATTTTTGTCATTTTGTGTCTATTTGTAGCTATTTTCTTTGTGGTAGTTTTGTGTCTCTTTGTATTAATTTTGTGTTTCTTTGTGGTAATTTTGTGTCATTGTGACACTTATATACATTGGTGCTCATTTTGTGAGGCATTTTGTGTCTTTTTTTGGTTGCATTGTGACATTTTGTAGCCATTTTGGGTCTCATTGTGTTTCTTTTTTGTCTTTTTGTTTTTCTTTCTTGCCTTTACATGTCTTTGTAATCATTTCTTTTTGCATCTCTTTATACTTGGTAGCCATTTTGTGTCTTTTTTGATTGCATTGTGGCATTTTGTAGCCATTTTGTGTCTCTTTGTGGTAATTTTATGTCTATTTGTATTCATTTTGTCTTTCTATGTGATCATTTTGTGTCTCATTATGTGTATTTTGTGTCTTTTTGTTTGTCTTTCTTGCCCTTTTGTGTCTCTTTGTAGTCGTCTCATATTTTTTAGTGATAATTTTGCATCTCTTTGAACTTGGTAGCCATTTGACATCTTTTTGTTGTCATTTTGTGTCTTTTGTGGTTGTGTTTTGGCATTTGGAGCCATGCTGTGTCTCTTTGTGCTCATTTTGTGTTCATTTTTGTCATTTTATTTCTATTGATTTTCTTTGCGGTAGTTTTGTGTCTCTTTGTGGTGCTTTTATGTGAATTTGTGCTCATTTTGTGTCTCATTGTTGTCATTTATTGTCTATTTTTTATTCATTCTGTGTGTCTTTGTGGTCCTTTTATGTACATCTGGGCTCATTTTGTGTCTCTTCTTAATCATTTTGCATATCAGTGTGTTTGTTTTGTGTCTTTTGTTCGTCTTTGTTGCCCTTTTGTGTCTCTTTGTAGTCATTTCTTTTCGCATGTCTTTGAACTTGTGTAGCCATTTTGTGTCGCTTTGTGGTCATTTTATGTCGCTTTGTATTGATTTTGCATTCCTGCGTGGTCGTTTTGTGTCTTTTTGTTTGTCTTTCTTGTTCTTTTGTGTGGCTTGTTGTTGTCATCTCAGGTTTTCTATTGCTATGGAAAAACCACAGATACTTCTCTTTTGTTCTGTCACAACATAAAATCATCTTCCCTTAAAATTATATATATTTTTGGCCTTCTCCAGAATCAGTAAGGTGCTAAACTTAATTGTAAAAAAATAAAATGTAAAAAGGGCACAAAGTTTGGTCCAACAGTTTGTCAGTTTTGGGTCTCAAATACCAAAGAAGTCCATGTTGGAGCAGCAGCAGCATCTGTACTGACACCAGCCCACCCTGGGACCACATCCAGCGGTCACTGGGGGGTTATTTTAGGGTTTCTTCTTCTCCTGACAGACCTCAGCCTCCTCCTGTGTCATCCGGGAGGCTCCGGGTCCGGGTTCGTACTTGGCGCGCTCCCGCTGCATGTGGCCGCAGCTGCTCACGTCAGCAGCGGATCAGCACCGCGGACAGCACCGGGAGGAGAACCGGGAGAGGCGCTTCTTCCACCGGAGGGAGAAGGAGGGAGGACCGGAGGACGAGAAAAAGAAAAAGAAAAGAAAGAAAGAAAAAGAGAAAAGAAAACCTTACAGCGGCTTGTTTACACGATGACAGTCACGGAGGGATTTTTTTTATTATTTTTTTATTTTTTTTACCTCCCTGTTCCGGAAGTAGCTGCTGCGTCGGTTCAATCTCCAAAACCGACCATTTCGAGGAGGAAAAAAGCAGCAGCAGCAGCATCTATCTGATCCCACAATCAATGGCATCGCTGCTGGCGGATGCGGAGACTCTTCTCTTGGTTTCTTCTCGCTCTGATTGAAAATAAAAAAGCCCTCCGCTGCCTCCTCCTCCTCCTCCTGTGACATTTCAGCTGATGGACATCGAGGCGCAGATGGGAATCAGGAGGCTCTCTGGTGTTTTTGTGCCGCCGCCGCCGTGTTTCCAGCCAGGCTTGTGAAAATGCAAATGATGAAAAGGATTGTGTTTTTCCGGATTCATCGTGGAGGCTCCACACAGGAGAGAAGGAGATGAAATAGAAGAAGAAGAAAAAATCATGATTTGACGTTTGGGATGCTCCACTGAGGGACAATAATAGAAGAAAAAAAAACGTTTTAATAAACCAAACTTCCATTTTCAAGCCTATTTTTTTTTTTTTTTTTTGGATTATGATTCTTGACAGGAGCCCCAGATGTGACTGTGCTGTGGATGGCATGTCGTTGTGTTTTTTTATTTCCCAGCAGCTCCTGGTTCGTGGCTCGGCGCTGCGCTCTCTTCCACTCGTCCACTCTCTGGCAGGCTTTGGGTAGCGAGAGAAAAAAAAAAACCCACACAGGAAAAAAAACATGTAGGCTATTTTCTGCTGCATGTGAAATAAAAAGAAAAAGCAAAACCCCAGAAGCAGAAGAAGAAGGTTGTATTTGAAGATTAAACATGGACAGTGGAGGTGCTGTGTGATGGGGTGCGGTGGTGGAAGATGCATCTAGACGAGTTGTTTGAGTGATGAATATTGAAAGAGTCCAGCTGAAAGGGAAAATCTTTCATCCGCATTGGCTTAGACACACATGCCATCAGTGGGGCGAGAGGCTTTCATTTCCGTGGATTTCCTGTCAATAAATGTGGAGAACACGACAATAAACATGAACATATTGGGTGTATGAGGAGTAATAACCATATTTATTATAATAATAATAATATTAATACTAGGAGGAGGAGGGGGAGAAAAGGGACACAACAAAACGTTCATTTATTCCAGTCTGCCGGATTCTTTATGTAGCCAAACATGTTCAAGTATCGGATCCGCATGTTTTTCAATGAACTGAAAGTCCTGGTGTTTATGCGATCCGATTCGAGACAGTCCGGCTCAGACGCAGAGAGATCCAGGTCCGGCGGAGCCATGCGCGGTCTGGGGATGGGCGGCTGCGGTTGGCCGCCTTTCGTCGACTGCCATTCCCGGGACGACGAGGAGGAGTACTACGGCAGCGACCCGCGGCCCCGGAGCCTGGCGTTCGAGGACAAGGAGCCCAAGCTGCAAGTGGGCCTGGACGCCGTGTCCCTGGCCAGCACCGCCAGCAGCCTGCGGACCCCCCAGTGCCGGATCTGTTTCCAAGGCCCCGAGCAGGTAAAAGTGGCTGATCGGAAATGTTGTTTGTGTCACATTTTCTCGTGCGTAAAAACGTTTTTTTCTTTGGTGTGGGGGGGAGGTGCATGCGTAAAAATCCCAACAATCCAATTCCCTCTAAACTGCCATTTTGATATATATAAATATATATATGATTTTTTTTTATGGTAACAGCAAATCACAAAGGCTCTCTGTGATTCAGTGGAGCTACTACAACCATCCTGTCCTACATTCTCTCTCTCTCCCACCCACCTTCCCCTCCAATACCTCCTTTTGGAAAAAAAAAGAAAAAAACAATCTAGGATGAGGCCAAATCAGGCAGTTTTTTAAATTTCACAGCCTTTCAAATGACCAAATTGGCCTCCAGCGTGCAACAAAGCCTCCCAGCATCACATTAGAGGCAACTATTGTCCTTTTTTTCTTTCTTTCTCTCTGTGTGAGGATGACTGCTCAGTGATCTGGTTATCTAAATAACACTGTTTTCATAACTAAAGCTAATCAGTGGTGGAAAAAAAAAAAGAAAAAAAAAAAGGCAGCAGTTCCCACACATCTGAAATCTGGCCAGCATAGCAACAAAGAAAGTTAGCCAATTAGGTCTGCAGGATGACAAACAGAGTGAGAGAGCGGCTGAATATGCATGAGTCACAATCATTTTGTAAAATGTAAATCAACCGTCCTCGTGTGTCAGGACGGGATGATCAAACTATTGATCCTGTGATGATCATCGCAGCAGCTTCCCAGACAATGGATTCATCATGTGTTTTTATTCCTGCTCGCCTGCTCGAGCCCAAACAAAACAATAAGAAGTAGCTGCTGCTGCTGCTGCTGCTGCTGCTGCTCCTGCTCGGCTTTGGTCTGCAGCCAAATGTTGGTCTCACCAGATGTGCAAGAAAACCTGCGCCGCCTGGATCAGCAGGTAGCCCTGAAGCCCGAGATAATTAGAAACACTGTAAATCCTGTAGGAGCACAGATGGATATTACCATTTAGTCACTTCTCTGAGATCGGCGTATAGTGTTATTGCGGCCCATGTGCTAATTTATGACATCTGCCTGAGAGTTTGTATTGTGAGACATAGTAAACCGGAGAGTAATAAATCACTTCGGGCTTGTTGTGGATGATGATGATGCTGCTGCAGACAGGGATCAACCCCAGGTAGCTGTCTTTGCCCACTCAAACATGTTCCTTTAATGAAAAAAAAAGGTTCATGTTTTGGTGCTTTTAGGCTCTCCGGCAAGGTGACTCATCGTGGCTCTGAGCTGCCTCTTTTAGCTACAGACAAAGAGCAAAGCAAACAAAGCACCGAGGGAAAACCCTGAACTACACTTTACTACATCAGCAGCTTCTCACGCGCATTTCTATCTTTTTTTTTTTTTTTTTGCTTCCACATGTGCAGAAGGGAGCGACTTAAATAACGAGTACAAGTCTGATGAATTTTGAGAATTTCAGACCTGAGAGTTTTCATATTCTCACCCCCCAACAGACCATTTTTTGTTCTTTTACATGAAGTTAAAGGATCTTTTCTTGGTTTCTAAACTAAACTATAGTCTTATTCCCACCAGCTCATTTCATAGCAGCAGGTTGAGACCATTAAACCAGGACAAGATGCTCCAACACTCCAGTCCTCATCCTGGTTCGCTTTAATTTCTGGGTCAGTTTGTGTCGGTGGTGTTTTTCCAATATGTACTTTTTTGTTGTTATTTGGGACTCAGAAGACAACTGTTTGATAAAATGTTTGTTTTTTTACATGAAGTTAAGACTGTAAATTCATTTAAGGGTTAAAAAAAATATGTGTGAAAGTCTCAAAATTCAACAGAAGAGTTCATTTATTTGGTATTCGTGACCTAAAACTACACTGAAAAAAGACCAAATTTTTGTTTTTTTACATTGAGTTAAGAGTGTGAGCTCATTTAAGGGTGAAAATACGAAAATGTCATGGTCTGAAAACATGAAAATCTCTAAATTCAGCCAAAAAAAGGTCGTTTCAAATCCCAAATAACATAAAAGGAAACTCTCAAAAAAGATTTGGAACAATGCTGCTATCTAGAAATCAAGAAAAAGATCAGTAAGTATAAAAAAACAACAACAAAATAGTCCAAATTTTGTGTCTCAGGGCATCAGTTTGGTCCAACAATCTTCTTTCTTCAGTGTAGTTTTGGGTCACAAATACCAAACAAATAAACTTTGAGCAAAATCTTGGAGCAACATAAGTTCTGTAAAGTGTTTTCAGCTGAATTTTGAGAATTTCTCATGTTTTCAGACCTGGAAGTGTTTGTATTTTCACCCTTAAATGAGTTTACAGTCTTAACTTAATGTAAAAAACAAACATTTTATTTATTTTCATGCAGTTTTGGGCCCCAAATAACAAAAAAAGTAAATTTTGGAGCAACATTTCCATCTGAAATGACACAAACTGATCTAGTTTTTCAGGAGGAGGAGCATCTTATCCCAGTTTATCTGAACGGGCTCAACCTGCTGCTGTTTAGTTAAATGGTGGGAATAAGTAAAGATCATTTAACTTAATGTAAAAATACAAAATATGTAAATCTTTCACTGTAAAGTTTGGTCCAACGAGTCTCTTTGTTTAATGTAGTTTTGGTTCCTACATAACAAAAAAGTAAAAGTATTTGTCAGGGGGCATCTTATCCCAATTTATTTTAATGGTCTCAGTCTTCAGCATTTTAATTAATTGGTGGGAATAAAGCTACAGTCTATGAAATGTATTATAGAAACCAAGGGAAGATCGTTTACTCACAAATAAAATTAAAAAAGGTAAAAATGTTCTGTCTCGGGGCATCAGCGTGACGTTTGTTCTCTTTGTTTAATGTAGTTTTGGGTCCTAAACAACAACAAAAGTACATTTAGCAGCAACACCAGCATCTGAAATGACACAAACTGACCCTGTAATTAAAATAAACCATTACGGTGTCGGGGCTTCTTATTCTGTTTGTGACGATGGTGTTGCTCCAAAATGTACTTTTTTGTTATTTGGGACCCAAAACTAGAATAAAAAAAAGAGAAGTGTTTGACGAAACTTTACTCTGATGCCCAGAGACGGGCCATTTTTACATTTATTTTGTTTTTTTGCATTAACCCTGTTCAGGACTGTCATGGTGCCAGACGTAGAGGGTGTTTCAGGGTTCACTGGACCCCAAGAAAGAATTCATTATAGACTTTTATACGATGTTAAATACATTTTCTGATAAGTTGACGTATTTTTGGTTCCAAATGCGTGACAAATGTCCCTCTTTTTATATTTAAAAACCAATACCGTCACCTAAACCAAACGGTCTGGGGTCCAGAAGACCCCAAAAGTCCTGGATAGGGTTGAGTTTCATGGTCTTTTCTTGAAAATGGATTTGTGTCTTTCAGATAGCGGCATCGCTCCAGAATGTTGTCAAGAGTTTACTTTCTGGTTGTTGTGAAGATTCTCAGTCACCCAGGTCATGGTTGTTCTCGTAGGTTAATCGTAGCAACTGCTTGAGTTCCTTGATGACGTTCCACCTCTCATCCAAGAGGCTTCATCAGGTCTGACTGACTAGTTGGGAGTTTCAGATGCTGATATCCTTAAGGAGCCATTAACTGGTTTCATTTGGGGGTTTGTTGCTCCTCCTCCTCGTTATGTGCCACAATGGGGTTCGTTAGGGTCTTTAGCGGCGAGGTGTGGATGTGGTTTCATCTTCATGGGGAGAGTTCTTAATATCTTAAGCCACAAAAGACCTAAAGAAGCCCCTCTTGGATGAGAGGTGGAACGTCTTCAAGGAACTCAAGCAAGTCCAGCTGCTACGATTCATCTACCAGAATCACTTTTTCGTTATTTGGGGTCTGTAATGACACAAACTGACCCTGAAATCAAAATGTGGGGATCAGAAGGGGGATTACAGTGTTGGAGCATCTTGTTTGGTCTCAACCTGCTGCCATTTAACCAAGTGGTGAAAATAAGATTGGGATGTATTAAACCTATCAAGACAAAACCACGTAAAAATAAAGTAAACGTAGGGGGAAGGGAAGGGAAAGTGTCTTCTGCCTACTCGGGTGCGAGGTGTGGAGGAGCTCACGTTTGCCATTTTATTGTTATTTCATTATTCAAGCGGGTCACAACAGGGGCCGGAGATCATGTCGCTGTCAGCGGGCCAATTACCTGCAGACATAATCACCTGCTCTGTGGGCTGCATCCAGTATGAATCCTTATTAACTGTCTGTCAGAGGCGTCAGCGTTACAGCGGCCTGATTCCACTTAACACTGCCTGCGTTCACAGAAGTCGCTGCAAAGCTCCGGCGGGGAATTACAAGTGTGCTGGAGTAAGAGGAGGTTGGCGGAGGTGATGAACCCCTGCGTGGCCTTTTCTTCTTTCAGAGCCCAACAGCGAGTTTCCAGAGCGGGGCGGGAGGCTGCTTCCACACTGAATTTTTGTGTAAAGGTTGCGGCTGAGGAGGAAGACCATTTTCTTAGTCATGAAGTGACACACTAAATTAACACCTTCATGCTCGGCGAAGTGGCCTTGAGGGACAAACCCACGCCCGATCATCCGAGCGGGAGGAGAGTGTGTTTGTGTGCAGCTGGCAGCCTTTGTGTTTGTCGGATGAATCTGTCGTAGATTTATCTCGCCGAGTCCCAACAATGAACCGAACCCGCTAACAAGTGCTGTCTGTGTCTTCAAAGCCTCGTACATCTAATTTCTCTACAAGAGGCGCCAACGTTGCTCATAGAAAACACAAATTCAACAAATTAATTGGCAAATACATGAAAAAAAAATGCTCTCCAAACATCACCATCTGAACAGATTACAGCCTTATTGCCACCACTCAGAGAAATAGCAGCAGGCCGAGACCATTGAAGTAAACTGGGATCGGATGCTCCCCCACAATCTTTTTACGAGTTACAGTTCATTTAGGGGTCAGGTTGTCAGTGTTGCTCATGTACAACACAAATTCAACAAATTAATTAGCAAATATATTTTTAAAAAAGCCCTGAAAATCAACTCTGCTGCTCAAAAATGAT